ATGACACGTGGTTCCAAATCCAGCAAAACAGCTCTTGGGACATAATGGTTGTCATCAGCCTGATAAAAAAACACATCTTTTCGGTCGCCAACACCTTCTGTAGCAAATGGCTCAAGTACTCCTTCTGGATTAATACCATGCTCAGCACAAAGTTTTTTCCAAAATTCGAAACCAACTTAACACAAAATAGTATTACATTTTCATAATGAGTACAAATAAAGCTAAATAGCAATTATTGATTAGGTAACTAGGTCTCATTCTATAAATTACTTACTTTGATTTCCACATTGGCCCAACTGGACCGTTATCATTTCACACGGCATTTTAGTACAAAGATTATTTCTTTATTTTAATACATTCAATTGAACAATTAGCGTTAGTTAGAACGAAAACAAACAATTACACATAGTTGGCTAATGAGAAAATTTCAACATAAATAAATAATAATAATATTAAAAATGCAGTTACAAAATGTACTTGTAATCAATATAAAAAAGTGTTCAATGATAAGAATGCCTAAACTAAAAAAATGGCGCGAAATCCTAAATATTGATAATAGTTAAAATACAGTGTTGTACACGTAACAATAATTTTCAAAATATTTCAAAGATATAGAAAAAATTCCTGAAAAATATTTTCCTCGAATATTGACTGTTTCTGACGAAAATTTACCCCCAAATTATGCGCCCCCGCGATATCACACGCGCCAACCGGCATTAAACTCGGTGTCATCGATTATTTATTGCCGTTAAACATTAACACATTAATGGCAAAAACTTGGAACCCCGACTATATGAATAAAATTATGACAAGTTATATAAAGTACGGCCTTATCTTGATCACATTTCCAAAACATTTTTGCAACATATGAACCCAAATGAGTTGCAGTCCATTGATGAGAAAGCATGATAAAGTTCAGGGGGCGCAGTGCTGTGAAACAATACATACCAATGAAACCCATAAAAAGAGGCTACAAGATTTGGGTACGGGTTTGATGAAACTGRGCATATTTGTGAGTTTGAGATATACACTGGGATAACAGATTCTGCTGAACATTCGCGWTGGGAAAACGTGTAATAGTAACWCTTACYAATAAAATCTAAGGAAAGTACCAGTTTTGTTTGATAATTTTTTCACTTCTTTTGACCTCATGGAAGATTTGCTTAAAAATAAAGTTTGTGGTTGTGGAACTTTGAGAGGTAATATGAAAGGACTTCCTATAAATTAGTTGAATGATAAACAAATGAAAAGAGGTGATTGTGAGGGAAGAATTTCAACCACAAATGTGTTATGGATCAAATGGAAAGAAAATCGTCCAATACAATTTCTCTCAAATTATCACGATCCAGATCATCTTACCAGTTGCTCGAGGAAAGCAAAAGATTGGTCATCAGCAAGCATAACATGCCCTACAATTGTGAAGGATAACAATAAAAATTAAAAATATGGGATATGCTGACTATACAGATATTATKAAATCATACTATGAGATATTGATCGAATAAGAGCCACAAAWGTGGCATAAAATATTCTTTTACATCTTATAGATGTTGCTGTCACTAACTCGTATACATATATTATTTAAWTTAAAAAGTCGAGGGAGACAGGTTCCTTTGAAGAATTTTAGACTTGTTGTAGGTAGTTGCTGGTTTAGTTGGCATTCCAACTACATCACCAAGAGGAAGACAACARACATTTAAAAATAAAACTAACAGTTTCAAAGTTAGAATACCACTAGAAATTCATTTTGATAATGTTGCACACATACCAAAAAGTTGTAAAATTCGTATATGGCACATGCCATAACTGCTCTACTAAACAAAACCCTAAAAGAAGAAGATGGGAATGTTCTACATGTAACGTAGCACTATGTTTATCATCAGAGAAAAACTGTTTTGAAACAATTCACAAAAAACAATAATATACCATGTATTTTTTTTTTTATAGGTACCTACTACCTACTTAAACAAACTGTTATGACATTATTATCTAATAAAAAACTTAAGTGTTTATAAGTTTTTAATCCTAGGTTCGCAGTGGTTATATATAATGACGACCGTTTTTTAGGTATTTATGGGTTGTAAAAACATTTTTTTAAATTTTTTTTTAGAATATCGTCGGCTTCTTGCCAAAACTCGGTAACTATTTCAAACTATTTTGAGATAATGGAGCTATCTAGTGGAAAACGTGGTTTTCTAACGTTTTGCAAGAGGCGTGAATTTCCTACTCTAACCTGCTTAAAACTTACAGTTTCTTATTTTCACTAACGGAGAGAGACGTAAATAATAAATATAAAGAGTAAAAAGTCATTAATGGTTTAGCGAGTTTTGGTATAGACAAAATTAAAGAAATATCGATTTTTTTTAGCTACAATAAGAACAACTCATAAGGAACCTTGTATTAAATTTTCAAGTTTTTTTGATCAAAATTAAACTGTATATAGATAACACTAACATAAACATTTGGTGAAAATTTCAAGTATTTACAGTGATTAGTTTTTGAATTACAACCATATAAAAAAATCGATTTGGTCTAAAATTGTTTTGTGTAAAAATTCCAGTTTTTCTGTAATTTTTTCGATTTTTTTGAAAACTGTTGGAAAATGTTTACTTTTGACCTCAATATGCACCAAGGATATTCACTTTTACACCAGAAACCACCCCTAAAGTTTGAAATTGAAGCATTATTTCGACTACTTATGCTGTACACAGACACAAAAGAAAAAAAAAAAATTGTAAAATCAATATACATTCATCACTTCGTTCAGAATCTAAAATGGATTTCTGTCTGTTTGTCCTATATGCATTTTTAAATGGCTGAACTGATTGCGATGTAATTTGGTACGGAGATATATTAGAAGATAAATTAAATTAAATAGCGATTGCGCTGAATATCATTCAATCGAATATTTTAATTATTCAAAGTCTGTTCTCGATAAAACGAATTAAATTACATAATGTTTAACTAAATTGAATATCGTTATATGTATGATTATTACTTAGTATATTTTAACCATTATCCTTTATCCATCTTTA